TATATTTTTTTTTTTTTTTTTTTTTTTTGTACCAGGGATTGAACTCAGGACCCTGTGCTTGCGAGGCAGGCGGTGGAACCACTGAGCTAAATCCCTGGCCCATTTTTTTTGTTTTGTTTTCGCTCTTTTTTTTTTTCTTTTAAATTGAATTTATCGGTACATTCTAGGTAGACAGTACAGTTACGTTCATTACTGGGATCTTGTACCTTTACGTGCCAGGTCTTGGACTAATTCTTTTTTGTACTAATTCATCATCTGATAATTCCTTCATCTATGTGGCAATCCTCCTCTTCTGACAATATACAAACTCATATGCACACACTGACACATACACTAATGTCACATGACGTATGCGTAATGCACACACAACAAACCTCACCTCTTTCCCACCACTGCCCATCTCCCACTTGGGTCTGAATAGACTTGTTTTCTCAACTTCCTCCTCACCTTCACGCACAGAACTGAAGTGCACCAGTATGGAGGGTTGGAGCTGTACGTCACATTTAGAGAATTGCACCACAGGGTGAAGGAAGTAGTAAAGAATAGAAATTATATTTTAAATATTTGTTCTTGGAATTCAGCTAAAAACACGACAGTTCTGCCTCTCCAGTTCATATCAGATCATCTCAGTATCTAGCTTTAACACAGGTAGGCACATGATACACAGCGGAACTGAACTGACCTAAACACAGAAGGCTGAGCCCGTTCTCCTTGCTGATGGGCAATAGTTCCATGGTGGTGGATGCTTCCAGAGTATTTTCCCCATTTCTCAAATTTGAATGGTAAGAACAAGAGGTTTCAGAGTAGGAGAATATTTCAGAGATAAGATTTGGAATTAGAATAAGCACTCTGAGGTGGGACGTGGTGGTACAGGCCTGTCATCCCGGCTATGGAGAATGGGCAAATGAACAAGACTCTATCTCAAAATAAAAAAGGTAGGGATGCAGCTCAGAGGGTAGAGTACCCCTAGGTTTAATTCCCAGTACTGGGAAAAAGAAAGGAAGGGCGAGCCCTAAAAAATAATTTTAACTTACTGATTGTCTTCTTTACTATCCAAAATGCCCAATGGAAGGGGACTACACCAAACCCTGTATGACTAAGTATTAATCATGCCTTAGTTTATTCAAATCTTAATAGAACAAATATGTTTTATCCCATTTCTATCAGCAATTTGCCTATTTTGTCTTATCTAAGACCAAATATGAAATTTTTATGAAATTTCCTCCTTTCTTCCATCTCTATATCCAGATTATTTAATTTTTAATCAAGATTCAACATTTGAAAACTATAATACTTTCCTTATCTCTTAGAAATTATTAAAGTGTACTTACAGCTAACTATAAATTTAGTTTCTAATATATTAGTGTATTGTTTTATGACAGTTAATCCAACACCATTTTCATATTGGTTTTTAAGGTTTTTTCAGTTAATTATGAATTCAATATAGCTATTATAAATGTAATTCTTTCGGAGTAAAAATTAAAATGGTTATACAATAAATTTTGGATATACTAATTATAATTGAAGTTTTCATTAAATATCATATTGATCTAAATATACAACCCCAGTACATACAAAATATTATTTAAAAGTGATCACCAGGGCCGGGGATTTGGCTCAGAGGTTCCACTGCCTGCCTCACAAGCTCAAGGTCCCGAGTTCCATCCCAGGTACCAAAGCTAACTAACTAAATTAATAAATAAGATCATTAATCAAACTATAGTTTTCCTCAGAGACATAAATAAATTCCTTTATAGGTAGGGTATTTCTAATAATGCAGGCAAGTTCCTTATAACAAACTCTCTTCACATGGGATGAAGAACTCACTATTTCACAAGAAAAAAAAGTTATTCGCTTATAGCAATGAATGTGTAATAAAATATAAAATAAATAATAATGTAATTTAGAACCTAGAAACTTGGTACTAGAGTACTAGGCATCTTGCTCTACATTTCGCTCTCATTTATTACCTGGAGAAAAGTTGATAATTATTATATCATTGGAATCTAATATCACTGTGAACTCCATGAAACTTTTATATAGAAATATATTTGGAAATAGTACTTTAACTTGGAAATTCCTTAGTGTTTGCAGTAGCTCCCTCCTGTAAAAGATTATTTGCATAACTCCTTAACCTTGGAGAAATCACTAACACTTATGTTAATCACTGGCTTCCAACCAGGACAAGCCTTGGGGAAAATGCATTAAGAAAGCAAGCCTTATCTTGAGATCCTTACAGCCCCTTCTTAATATCTCTCTTCCAACTTCCACAGCCTGATCCGCCAGTCTCTCTCAAAGCATCCAGTACTGTTAAACTCTGCTTTCCTCCTAGCCAACTGTCCTATTCTGTCTGTGTTTTTCTACCCTATTTTCCAGCAAATCTCATTTGTGGATTCAACTCTCCATTCTACTTTCCTATTACACCCTTACTGGCGGAGCACTTTCATTCTAGTTTTTTCACCACGTGGCTAACATGTTAACAATGAATCCCAGGGTTCATGGGCAAGGCCCTTCTGGACATACTTGTGCTTTATCTGTATCTGTGTATATGCGTTTTTATTTAATGTCAACTCTGGAACTACAAAAAAAGACACTGCTTTTTGAAGTCTCTTGTGACTTGTGTCTAGATGTCCCCCCAATGCCTCAACGGGTAGATGGCATTGCATTTCTGTCACAAGTGGCTGGATCTAGAGCATGTGATGCTGAGATTAAGGGCTTGAGTTACTAAATGAGTCCACTGGTTGGTTGGACTCTGGGTAGGATGAAGGCTTCCCACCCTGGGTGTTAGTGTTACCTGCCTTAGCCCTAAGGGCGGGCAGCCTAGATAAGATAAAAGGGACAGAAAGAGTGTTGCTACATTTTGCGTGTCACTTGCTGCTTGTTACTTCTCTGCTTTGCTGCTTTCTGCCTACAACAAACTGTTTTCCTCTGCCATGCCCCTCTGCCGTGCCCTGGAGCCAGCCAAGTACGAAATGAAACCTCTACAAACAATGTCAAATAAATCTTTCCTCCTTTAACTCTGGGTGCCAGGTATTTTGTTTCAGAAATGAGAAAAGTAAATAAGACAAAGTCCAAAATACATTAAAATCAAATTTATCTTAAAACATGATGGAAGAAGTACCTTTCTAAAAATTGTTCCAACCAATATATTATGTTTGATTTTTTTTTTTTTTCTTTTGGTACCGGGGATTGAACTCAGGTCCTTGTGCTTGCAAGGCAGGCCACCGAGTCACTGAGCTAAATTCCCGGCCCATGTTTGATTATTTTTCTGTGTATGTATTCCCTTACAGTGCAGTTGATTTTCTATACGTTTCCACAATTTCAGTGGTTAGACCTATCTTGTACAGATCCATATATTTTGTAGTATTGTAGGGTAATTCTATTTAGGCATTGTGATAAATGATAGAAGAAATGTCACATATTGGAAATTGAACATCTCTGTATTCTAATTTCATTATTAATGACAAACGTTCTCACAGCCCTCAATGCTTAAATACTTGATTTTGTCTTCTCTTGCATTTTCATATTTACTTGATTGATTTTTTTTTCTCATTGAGTTTATTGGTACATTTTAGGTATACAGTACATTCATCATTGGGATCTCGTACCTTTACATGACAGGTCTTGGTTCTCATTTTTTGCCCTTGTCCCTGCCCTCCCTTCACTCCCTCCTCCCTTCCCTATTTACAAATACTTTATTTCCACTTTTTCATTTTCTCATATTTTTTCTTTTCCCTTACCCTCCCCACTTTCCCTTTTTTCCATAAGCATTTCTGGGAGTGATTAGGTCATCTTCTTCTCGCCCCTGTAAACACCACCTATATTTCGCTTTATGTTGAAGAAACCTTGATATTTGGGGATTTAACTCACTTAACTCTCGAGATGCCATAATGGAAGTTTAATCCACCCAACAGAAGAGGTGGACTGTTAACACCAGTAAGTTTAAATTTAAGATTTAACTGTGTACTAAATTAGATCTGTTACAGAAAAGTTACTACTATAACCTCTTTAAAATTATTACCTCATTTCATCCTAATGATTCAATAAAACAGCAATTTATGAACCCCCTTTTCTGGATTAAGAAATGTGATACCCAGAGGGTAAGACCCAGGGTCTCACACAGCTGTTGAGTAAAAGAACGAGGATTTTAACATAGGCCATTTCTCCACATTCCATATGGCGTGGTCTGTAACATGTAATTCTGTACTGATGATTCAACAGCCCACTACCCACAGCAAACACGACAGATACAGGAAGTATTATTTCACAAATGACTTATACTTACAAGGAATATCCCTGTACCCAATCTCCAAAGCGTGAAAATAATTCATGAATTCTCTAACTGGAATCTTAAAAGCTTCAAAGAGGCCCATGTCTTCAAACAGTCTATAGGAGACCTGTAAAGCAGACAGACAAAATCGTACCAATTATTCTTCAGTATTCCATCAATAAGATGAATTTACTACCAGTAGAGATACTTATTGAGAGTAACAAAGTAAGTACACGTTGAAGACTTCTATGTGTTGAGCCTTTCTGGTGTTTGTCCTACAAGAGGTGTATTTTATACATGTAAAGGTAAAGATTGCACATACACCCAAGAAACCAACACTACTACCACACCACCAACAACAAAAACATAGATGCACCATAGCATTGTACCAAATGATTAAACTGAGCAGGCGTTCATGAGTAGAAAATGACACTTACTAAGCTGCAAATTGTATAGCACATTCCATAAACATTAAAGGATGAGAGAAATTTCAATTTGGATGGATTCTTTTTTAAAAAGCTAACTTCAAAAAATAGTGGTTTCAGAACTATGGCTTAGTGAAGAGGAAAGAACTGTGGAAGAGGAAAACAGCAGCTCTAAAACATAAAGAGGAAACAGATTTATTCTAACCCAGTATAAACGATACTATTTTCTCTTATTCATTGGATCTCTTTCTCCTCCAAATATCTGCCTCACATGCAATTATTTTTGCAGTTCTGTTGACACAAATCATATATGTGGAAATAACTAGCATACGTGACATATGAAGGATGCAGAAAATGGTGAACAGGAGAAGGCAACGGGGAGAAGCGACTAGTGCCGCTGCCACGCGGTGACTGAAGACAGGAGGAACCCTTGGAGCACCTGCAGTGGCAACGTCTTGAGGCTGAGAACCACACCCACCTAAGAACACACTGCTCTGGAGAGACTGCGACCTACTGGAGAGAGTGGAGCAGAGAAATGGCTTTGTCTTATTTTTAAATGAGATACCCTCACAGAGAGTTGAGAAATAGATTGCATGATACCTTCATCTCAACTTTGATTTACTTTTCTTCACTGGGAATGCACAGATGTTGGTGTTAATTTTTCTGTGTAATTTGATGTCTCTATCTCCTCTCTTTAAAAATGCAATTGAGGCTGAGAGTGGTGGCTCATGCCTGTAATCCCAGCACTTGGGAGGCTGAGGCAGGAGGATCACTGTGATTTCAAGACCAGCCTGGGCTACACAGTGAGTTCCAGGTCAGTCTCAACTACACAGTAAGACCCTGTCTTAAAAAAACAAAACAAACAAACAAAAAAAACTGCAATTGAAAGTTTTTAGTTTCTGTCATAATACATTTTAAGTGATTTCTTCTTTTAGTTATCCCCTCTTTATTATTGCTTTAGACTACTCAAAACTACAGTAAGACCCTGTCTTAAAAAAACAAAACAAACAAACAAAAAAAACTGCAATTGAAAGTTTTTAGTTTCTGTCATAATACATTTTAAGTGATTTCTTCTTTTAGTTATCCCCTCTTTATTATTGCTTTAGACTATATTTAAGCTCTCATTTATGAACACCTAAGGGAGTTATCCTTGCAGGTTACTTCAATAATAACAGGGACAGCAGTAGCGGGAACTTCTGGGCATACACACAGAGGGTTAAGTGTGATCCTTGCTCTAAAAAAGTTAATGCAGAACACTTACTTACATATAATTTATCTTCACAGCACGTATGAGAAAGGTAATGTCAATCACTAATGTCTGAAAGTAGAGGAAGGAAAGATAAAGAGAGATTGTGCATGGGGCTGGGGGTTTAGATTTAGCTCAGTGGTTTCACCACCTGCCTTGAAAGCACAGAAAGGAGGGGGGAATTGCATGTGTAAGGCCATACAGCGGATATATTTCAGAGCTAGAATTCAAACCATGCCTTTCATTTTCTGCTTGTGTACTCTTAACTGCTTTAAGTGCTACTGCCACTATTTAGAAATCAATATTGCTAGAGTTGTAAAAAGCTAAAGGGGCCCTGCAGTTCTGGTGAAAATGTTTCAATGCTGAACTGAAAAATTAAAACAGAATATTTTAGAGTTTGACATGAAAACAGAATTTTCATCGAGAAGCTGTTAAACTCAACCACGTGTCACTTCACATATGGCAATTCGAAATTCATAAAGAAAAAACTTATTGACTGGATAAATTCTGGCAACTGAAAAGAATAAACACTATTCCAAAATCTGAAGAATGTCCCTTTAAATTTGTCAAAATAAACATAATCATCATCAAAAGGCAAGCAGTACATTAAGGCTGAGAAGTTATTTCCATTGCACATATGTCTCTTTAAAAGTCTTTTGATGTGAGACTTTTTCTGTGTAGTCTCAGCCAAAAGGTGATTTCTTGGAATGCCCATGTTAATTCATTTCAGCTGTCCTAACGTCTCATAGTCAAAGTTTTATGATTTTCATACTTATGAACTCCAATCAAAGGAGAAAATCCAGAAAGTTCTACTTAGCAAGGCAAATGAAACTGTATTTTCTCAAAGGTCAGCGTTTTGTAAATTGGGAAAGTAAACGGTGATTAATAAGGACCTTGTAGTAACGTATTACTCACACACTGAATACGAGAGATAGATGGGTGAATCTTGTTGAAATCTAATTGTTAACAATCCCTAATCTTTCTAACCATTGCTGGAATTTGTGCATCTCAGGAAACACTTGGGGCAGCTGAGGGTGCAGCTCTGAGGTACAGTGACTGCCTGGTATCCATGAGGCCCTGGGCTCAAGCCCAGGGAGGGAGAGACGGGGGAAGAAGGCAGAGAGGGAGGGAGAGAGGGAGAGAGTGGAGGAAAGAAATATTTGGGCAATGGTGGCCAATTCTGAACCTCCGATGCCCCTATTTCTGAAAACTTTGAGGGGAACTGGTCACCTAAAGTCCCATCTGGTACACCATCACTAATGCTGTAAAGCCAGATCCTATCATAACCATTTTTCTACTTGGTAAGACTCTCCATTTGGAGAGTGTGAAGATAAAGTACATAGGTAAAGGTATTTTATGGGTTTCTCAAAAGCACTTGAATGTTAAAAGCCTGAGCTTCTGATAGGGATAAATCTACATTTGAATCCTGGGTCTAATATTTATCTCATAACTTTAAAAGAAAAGTAGATACTCTTTCAAGTCTTAGTTTCCTCTTTTGTAAAACAGAGTTTAAAAAAATTCCTGTACCAAAGTTAGAATGAAGATGAGAGTCTAGAAAACTCTCCTCTGTCAAGGAACATAACCTTCAATAAAAGAAGACATAAAAGATTATGTGGCACTGTCATAGGCCTCTTCGCAGGAGGGTCCACTCCCTCAGAGTCTTAATCAGCAATGGGTTTCAGAAAATGGCATGAGAAACTTCCCGGGAGGAGGCTAAGTTGTAAAGCTAAGGTAGATTGGATAAAACAGTTGCCCTAGAACTTGTCCTTAAACTCAGTGGGCATGAGAGACATGGCTTAGAACTGAGGAGAAAGGAGAAGGTAACAAACAGGACTCTCAATGCCTAGTAAAAGGGAAAGGCTGCTGTGTATTCGTCAGTGCATTCATAGGATAGAATGGAGAAGAGGCGGAAAGTACATTATAAAGACTGTCGTTATTTTCTAGTTCCTAGCCCATCTTTCTGTGACTATTCTGACACCAATCAATTTCCTTTCTAGATTGTGAATTTCTCACAGCAAGGGTGTAATTCTCTTCTCGAAGATTTGATAGTAAATCAAATGGAGTTCTCTGTATGTGAAAAATCAAAAACACCTTTATTTATGACAAGACACACACAATGAATCCTATTGGTTCATAACAAACCTTTCAGGATTGTTTCCTTAAGGTAGACTACTTTCAAGGCTTCCCAAATAAAGAAGTGTTTGTTTGCTAAGGGAGGAAGGAGATGTTAAGAATTTGGATGTGTTTATTTTGATACATGCTTATCTCTTCTGCCTTCATGGATGGAGAGTCCTACTCAGAAGTTCCACGTTTGGATTCATGTTGAGAAGGCTGAAGGGAGAGGGTCTGTGATGCACAGAGCAGAAACTGGTATTTCAGTGATTCCTAGGATTTGGCAGGAAAGTGTTAGTGGCCCCAATAAATCTGGGCTGGTTCCTGACCTCATCTAATTCTTATGTTACCAAGTTTGGAAGACTTCAGTACCTCTGCTGTTAAAATTTATCCACATTTATATTTTAAAATAAGCTGATATGTTATTGTACCACACCCTTTAATTGTTTCTGTCTTGATAGGTGCTTGATAATATATCAAATTCATCATTTTGTTTTATTTCATTTTTTTTAAAGTATATCCATACTCTGAATTTCTACATGTTTTCTTCCTCCCTTAGCAAGCCAAACATTCCCTTATTTGGGAAGGCTTCATAACAATCTGTTTTAAGGGACCAATATTAAAAGGCTTGTCATATATTTTGTTTTGCTTAACTCTGTGAATTTTACTTTATTTGTCCATTGTACTTGTTTTCCCTAACTTTCTACACTTCCTTTGGGGGGAAAAAAAGAGAAAGTCATATCTATTACTCAAAGTTCCAATTTCTTTATTAAGCACTACCATGGGATCTACAGAATGTTGTGTGCTAAAATTCCCTTTCTCCATACAAAGCATATCCATAGGTATCAAGAATATGAAAAGCTTTCAGCAACGAAGTTTTGTTTTGCCTTTAAAATCATATGGTATTACTTACCTGACTAAGAATACGGCCACATTTTCTTCCTATATTCTCCACTAAATCAAAAATGGGGAAATTCCAAGTATTTAGCTGCTCCATAATTGAATCCAGGTTATCCATGACAAGAGGTTCGGGGGCAAGAACTGGTTTATTCTGTAATGAACATTAAAATATTTTAACAACATGCACTTTTTCCATAAAATAGTCCATGCTTTGGTAAATCTAAACAACTGGGATTATGTGAAATAAATGAATCAATACTCTAAGATGAATCTTAAAAAGAAAATAGATGAACAAGATGTTGGCCCTAGATTAAGGAGGAACAATGTATGGAGTATCAGACTATGAATCTTGCACTGTACGCAACTGCCTATCCTTGGTTCACACACTCTCCAGAAAAACATGGATGTTTCCTCCAGAAGTTAATATCATTGCCTTTGGGCCCGCTTCAAGGCTCTTCAGTAAAGATTCAAAGACTTTAGAATACTCTGAAATTATATGTATACTAATCCCTTTCCATATTTATGTAAATTTTTCTGGGATAAGGAAAGGTAGCTTCTATTGGATTCTCAAAAGAAATGCACGAGTGAAAGGAGAAACTTAATCACGCCTATTTTAATTGACTGAATTTATATATTAATGTTTCAAATCAGCATGAATCCCGTCGAATGAGCTGTCACATTTTTCAGGGATGTGAATTTAATTCATGTGAGCCAATGTTTACTGAGAAACATGTACTACATAAATTCAAAGACATTTTACAACTATTCATAAATCAGGAAAGTCTTAAGACTATACCCACAACAACAACAAGAACAACAAAAAAAAGATAATTATATGTTCCTTTACCTAAAAAACTGACTTAAAATGATAAATTTGGTGAAAGAAAAATGATAATAGCACCAATTAATGTATCAGTCAACTATTTTCTAGCATTTGCGGCCTTCCCCAGATTAATTTGAAGCAAATATATATTTCATCCTTTTTAGATAGCTGTTTTTAAACACACAAAATAAGCCATTAGTAAATTATCTTTTAATAGGTAGCCAGTGTCAACATAAATCTGTTTTCATATAACAACAAGGAAAATAAATATTGGTGAATAAATCAAGAAAGTGCTGAAGGAGAAAAAAAAATAACAGCAGATACCCTAAAAAAGTCTTTGTTTTTCTTTCTTCTCTTTATAAAATTGTATTTAATTGCATGACATAGGTTGTTTTCTTATGCATATTTATGCTTTTTGATCAGGCTAAGAAATATCTGTCACCATTTATAAAGATAGATACTTATCTATTCTATCACCAAATAATAGAAACCCAAAGAGATCTATAAGCCTTGGAACAAAAAATAAATTGTATTGAAGCATTTGGGTATGGCCACAACACATGCAGGACCTTAGTGAGACACATGTACAGATATAATGATATAAAGTCTACTTCTAAGCTAAACTTTGTCATAAAAAAAGGCAATTTCTCAAGTAAATAAATGAGGTAAGGAACACAGGGCTACCAGGAATATCACGGCTTCAGGACCGTAGGTGCCACAAGCCAATGTCTTCCTCAGCGACCCTCTCGGACACTCAGCCTCGTCTTCGTTCTGGAGAATGTCACTGCTGTCACTGTTGTTATTGGTTTCATAATCAGAGGTAACTTGGGCAGTGTCATCTGCAATACAGAAGAGAACAGCTTATTACGAGACCTATGATGGGGAAAGAGATCTAAGACGAACAAATGTCCCTAAAATGTGTCACTTACAGTGTTTGGGGAAATATCGCTTTCATGTGGTTCCTTAACAAGAACACAGAATCATAGGCTTTGAACCCAAGGAAACAGATGGGGATTATGCTGTGTGGATTTTTGCAACATTAAAAAATCCCTCAGTAATAATTTTTAGGCCAACAGTTTTTTTTAAAAGTCCAATGACTTTATATTACTTTCCTCTGTCCCTCTACCAATACATTAAGCCACTAAGAGGCTAATACACTAATTCTACTCAAGCTTTTTTTTTTTTGGTACCGGGGATTGAACTTGGGTCTTTGCGCTTACAAGGCAGGTGGCCGAACCACTGAGCTAAATTCCCAGCCCAATATACTAATTCTAGAATGGCTACATGGGGCACGAGAAATTGAGTCTACTCACGCAGGAGTACGTGGTCTATAGAACATGACATCATAGCATGTGCTTAAGAGCATGGAGATGCCAGGTACTCAATTTGTTACTTAGGATCATGTGACCTCTTCCTCATCAGCACCCTTTCCTGTCCCCCATTTCAATGATTAGTAAACTCTGCTAAGTAAAATACCAACCAGAAAATACCTAACATCAAAAGAATACACTTCTAGGACAAAGCCATCAGGAAGATTTTCAAAGATGAGCAAAGTACCTGGGTGAAGTTTATTGAACACTTGTTACAGGCTGGGGCCAGTTAAAGTCCTTTACTTGTACTAATATATTTAAGCCTTTCAACCATCCTCTGAGGCAGGGGTTATCATACTGCTATTATGTTCCCTTGCCGATAGGAAAGTGAGGATGAATAAATGGCCTAAGGTCACGTAGCTACTAAATTTTTGGCATTAGAATTTCAAGTGAGTTCTGGAAATCTGAGTGGAGTTCCTATTTGCTTCCTTTTTGATAAAGTCTAGTTTTCTTTTCTTTTGTGGTAATTTCTTTCCATGGTCTATAAAACCTCTGTCTCATCTAAAGTCACCAATCTTCTCCCTTGTTTTCTTCCAGAAGCTTTGTCTGTCTGGCTTCCGCAGGTAGATCTACGCTCCATCTCAGAACAGAATACTGTGAGGCAGGGGGCAAAGTGCATTGTTTTTCCAGCCTCACTGGATTGCTTAGCATCTTTGCTGAAAACCAAGTGACTGAGTTGGTGTGAGTTTAATTTGATACTTTCTACTCTGTTTCATTTTATCTACTTGCTGATCCTTAGGCCAAGACCACACTGTCTTGATTACTGTAGCTTGTCTTAAAGATGCAGAGTTTGTATCCTCTAACTTCGATTGCTTTGGTCAAGATTGCTTTGCATAATTTTTTTTTTGTAAGTTGCTAATGAGTAAGAGCTTTTGTTATAAAACTTATTCCATCTGAAATATCTTGTAGAATTTTTTCAAGGACTCATTATTCTTCCATGTCATCCTGCGTATATAACAAAATTAGATACATCATGAAAATGAAACAAGTTTCATTTCCAGAACCTGTAGAAAAATAAAGAAGCCAACTAAGGGGACATAAAGATCCTACAGGTGAAACATCCCCCTCATTCTTTTTGACCCAGGAGAATAAATATCAGGGACACAGAGAACAGAGTATTTGCATATTTCATAATGCTACACTGTAAGAGAGGGCCACAGAGAATTCTCCTTTGAAATCTCTCTTGCTTATGGTACTTTTCCTTTGTATATTGCCATAGGAAAAAATTATCTCAATCAATATTTGTTGTGTATCTAGCAAGAAAGGCTGGAGAATATTCACAGTTATTGGCAGATCTATCGCCCCGAAGTCTTGTAGATGTTTACTTTTCTACCTTGTGTACTTCCTGCTTAACAAAAGCAAGTCCCTACATCTGTGTCACTGAAAATAAGTAATTATTACAATGACAGTAGCAAACATTAGCTACTATATAGTTACTGTATGTATAGACAATATAGCAAGCCATATGTGCTTTACATGCTTTTAAATAATTCAATTTTTATAACAGTCCTCTGTGGTGGGTGCTATTATTATAGTGGTATTTCAGTTCATGGACTTCATTCATTCCAAGATTCCAGGAAAAATGACTGCCTTTATGTTCATTATCCAATGTGGAGTTCGCCAACAGAAGCAAAATTTTGCCAAATGCTTCTGTTTGCAAACTGAGGTATTGCTGTATTCTAACATTCTTCAGGTAAAGGACTGAGGTAGAGGATATTATGATTACAGATAAACAGGTGTGAGGCAAGCTGCAGTGCCCATCATCTGAACCTCTCCACTGTGCTGTCTCAAAGAAAAAGTGGGATATGTTTACAGTGATACAGTAGGGCCATCACTCAGGGCCTGTTCCGGAGAGTCCTACTCAGTGCACCACAGTGGGTGGCCCTCTGATCTACAAAACAGCAAGCCATAAAATCATCCTACGTAGCTCTACATACTATATAGAGAATCTTTCATTTAAACAAGAAAACAGTTACACTTCTAAACAGATGTACATTTTGGATATTCTAAACAGGAGCATTTTGGACACCTTTATACCAAAACTGCACCATGATGAAATCTAGGGTTATGGATGATTTTTTAGGTACTCTTTCTTATCTTTTAAGTTTTACAAATTTCTGCAAAGCAGAAATATATGTTACTTTTTGGAACAGGAAAAACACAATGAAATAAAATAACTTCCATTTGAACAAGCAGGATCCAACACAACTCATTCATTACCTGTTCTGCTGGATGCCTGAGTGGCTTCGCCACTTTTCTCCAGGGGCCCATCTGCAGGAGTCGCTTGGGAGTAAGGTCTGCCACAGCTGGGGAACAACAGAAATGCTGTCAGTACGGCCTTCTCTTTTCAGAAGGTCCTGGGCACACACTGACTTTGCGTACCGTAAGATAGACCACGCCAAGGAAATATTTCTGCCATTTACTTCTCCATCTCATGGAAAGATTTTGTTTTGTACATGGATGCTCATGAGAGATCACAAACAGAGTGGTCAATTTAATGGATTAGAAACTTCATTTCCCTCTTGTTTGCAACTTCCATCACCTCAGCCACACAGAAGTGTAATTGAGGGGCAACTCTTACTGCCTTAGACCACACTTGAGGTGCCAGTGTCACCTTATCTGAGGCATACTGGGACCAACACCCACACATGCATTGTGGTAATCTTGGAAATACTGACATATATTTGGTCAAAAATACCCTCCCCCATGAAATACCTATATGCCTGCTTAAAAGTCTGTCAGATTTATTTCTTTAAGACTTTTTATATCCTGACAGATTTTTAAGAAAAGACAGCATACAAGAAAATAGAATAATGGAATCTTAATTTTTTAGCCAAAAATAAAGATGAGTTCTTTCCTTCAGATTGATGAGTCACATACTAAAGCCTTAAGGAAACGAACAAAAGATAGGAATGTTTCCATGATGAGTGAATGGTGGTTGACAAAAAAAAGGTCAAAAAAGTACTGAGAATAACCACGAAAACTGAAGGTACTTGAGAGGTGATCGGTGTCCCATAACAGGGTTGCCAGAGGATGGAGGATTTTTTTTCCAATACTTTAACTGTATTGTAAGTTAAAAAATTACCCCACAATGGCTTAGCAAAGTGTCAAATTACTGCCTCTCTCTTTTATCTTCTTTAGACAGGACATGATTAGGTTTTTATTCTGTATTTTGTTGCTGGGTTTTTTTCTCTTGCTTAATATTACAAAGGGTCTCAGAGGATTTTTCATCTGTTTGTTATTTAACTACAAATTACTCACTCTTAAATGAGGAAAAATGAGTGATATTTTATTGTTTAGTATCTTAAGTGGCTCTTTTTTTGTCCTTAATTGTACTTGTATGTGCTGCAGAGAAAAGCATTTTCCAGCTAGACATGTTCATGCTAAGTAAATCTCCACCTTTGAATGTTCGCACATAAAGGATTCCCAGTGATGAAATTCTATCATTTTGCCTTAAGGAACCAAAAGAAAATGATAGAACAAAAGAAAACAGAAAGTACATGCAAGTGATGGGCTAATATTCTCAGAGGAAAGTTGGGAGAGGTAGAGTTTATAAGCTTGAAGATTTTTCATCACAAGATAATACCTAAAAAGAGTATTTGAAGTAGTGGCTTCAGTCTACCAACTCCTGTGCCAAAAACAGAGCCGGCTGCATAGACATTACAGCAGCCAAGAGGCTGGGATCCAATGCCAGACCTTTCGAGTTCAGCAGGGGAAACCACAATAATTAGTTGTGTGTTTCTGGAGCACTCTGTGCCTACATGGGTGGCTGCCTTGAAGAGAATAATAAAACCTGGTTTGAATTACAGATTTATAAAGCCCAAACAAATAAAACACACACTACTGGATTTATAAACATTACTGAACAAGTAGACAGTGAAATCCCCTTGTTTTTCTCTGAAACCTCTTTTATAAAAATCCTATTACATTCTTCTTGCTAAGAACACACACACACACACACACACACACACACACACACACACAAGAATATGATGAAAAAAGCTATGTGAGTGGTAAGTCTTTTTTGAACATCTCCTTTCTTTAGGCAGCTGATTTCCCACAAGTTTGGAGAGTGACAGGAGAGAGCTCCCCACGGAAGCTGGAAGCAGATGCCCGTGAAGCTGATACTTCACTGGGTTTCATATCTTAGCTTAGGGTGCACACCACGAAACAAGGCTTCTTCTCCATGTCCTGCCTCACACTCAATCTATGGGCCCTTATAGGGTGTTAACCTAAAGAAGTTTGGTCTGTGGTCAGGTAAGTTCAGAAAACACCGGAAGAAACAAAAACATCAAGGGGTGGTGTTTTAGCAAGACTTCTTAGGATTTTTAATAAAGTAATACATGTTGTGAATCACTAAAAAGGAAATATAATGTGTCTGATAGACATTTTACTATAGAAGGTATATTTTGAGAGAGACATTAATAGCCTACTGGAGTTGGTTTGTTTTTTTTTTTTAAAGGCTGACATAAGGGATAGAGCCTTAGCTGAATGGTAGGGTGTTTGCCTAGTATGAGTGAAACTCTTGGGCTCAATCCTTAGCAACACACACACACACACACACACACACACACACACACACACACACCTGGTGCGCCGAAAGCAGACAACTTTTAGATGGCAGAATAAATTTTTACTTTGGCCCTGGCCAGAGAAAGAAAATTGATTTTCCATTTTTAAATATGTGTAAAGAAAATAGAAGAAACAATGAAGATTATAAAATAAATGGCTTTAAAACAAAGTGTTACATAGTTTGGGGCTGCAGCAGTCATCCAAAGCCCCACAGGTTAAAGACTTGGTGGCCAGCCTGGGCTGCTACTGGGAGATGGTGGGACCATTCATGGAGAGGCTACTGAGAAAAAGTCAGGTCATTGGGGGCGTGCCCTGGGGGGGATTAAGACCCTGAGCCTAGGGGGTCTCTCTCCCTGCCACCTTTCTCTCTCCCTTCTTCCACCACAATATGCCCACCATGGCAAACTGTCTCACAGGCCCAAAGGCAATGAGGCCAAGCAATTATGAGTGGAAACCTCTGTAATCATGAGGAGAAACATGTCTTTCTGCCTGCACATTGGCTTATCTCAAGTGTTTGTGACAGTGAGGGAAAGTTAACCAACAAAAAGTTCATCAAAATGAAATTTGTGAAGCTTCGCATCAGTTGCTAGCTCTCAGCACTGAACATAATAATAAAATGTAGGTTGATAAACCAATATTTGATATTAGAAAAATAATATGCTAGCAATGTATTCAAGTTGTGGTCCTCATTAACATGAAAAAGAAATTATTTTGAAGGTACACTCATGGTTATATTCAAAACACTCAACTATTTTGTACTCAAAAACATTTTGAGTTTCAAGGTCAATTATCTAAGGTGAAGCTATTATTGAAGAACAATAAAATATGTTAATCAGTAAGAGGAAATATTTCTTTCTTACAATGATAATGTTGGGAAAATAACTAGTTCAGCCACGCTGGGCTCTCTTTTCTCTTGCTCTGTGGCCGACATTTTGTAATTCTGTTAGTAATATAATAGAATAGCACACACAAGGCTGTATTGTTTTCAGAGAACTATTTGCACCCAGCAGTAATGTGCCCATATTATTTGTACATTCCCAAACTGTTAAAAGGGGAAATACAAACTTCAAGTGAATATTTTTCAAATCAGTTTAAAATACTCCCTGGAGAACAAGTAAAAAACATTCCAACAAAGGATCATATCAGATTACTTGGTGTAATTTTTAAATTGTAAACACTATGCATTCTTCATTAGCAAGTGGGTAAAAAGTACAACTACTGATTTTGCACCATCTCTAAAGATTAGCATGATGGGCTATAAGGTGTATGAACTTTCTATTACTAGAAAACCACTCAAAACTTCAGTAGCTATTCTAGCCTGTTCAATACAAACCATAGTATCTATGTTTCCTCATCAACCTCCTTGGCAAACATGTACAAAGCTATGTGGATGAGTGGCGGGTGATCCCATGGGGAAACTATTATTGGTTTTACTATTAAACTCTGGTTAAGAATGTGACTTCTTACCTGCTGCATACAACAGGTGGAGCCAGGGTCTGAGGGGACAGGTCAGGGGCACTCTGAGTATAGGTTAAAATCCTGTGAGAACTTGGACCATGTTTGGCAGTTGTCTCGGCTGATTCTGGAAACTGCACTGCAGAAATTTTGCTGACAGGGCTGCTGGCAGGAGTCCCTTGGAGAGGTGAAGAACAGGGCGATTGAAGAGGTGAGATTTTAGCAAGATCACCTGGGAAAGAGAGTTAGGAGGTCACTCAGCAAGCAAATACCTTCAAGGCACAAATGGGGAATACTTACACCTGACCTCCACTCCGGGAAACTCAAAAACCATCTTGCGGACAGTAAGGCCACCAAGCTAGTCCCCCCACACACATGCCAACATCTGGTGGCAGGGTGTGTGGTTGGGCTGTCTCCACAGTGTGAAATATGAGTAATGAATCATCATGAAAAATCAGTGACCATGCTGGCAGCGTCCGCTGAAGCCTTGGTGTCCTGGAGTAACTTCAGGATAGGAGGATATTATGTCCTCCTCCCATTTTTTGTTTCTTGTCATTTTGACTTGAAAATAACAGCTGAAATTGTCTGTCTCCTCTTAAGCTGCGGAGTTTTAGCAGGAACAAGATTTTCTATTGTTTTCAACATTAAGCGGTAACTGGAGCCCAGTGTGGCAAGCATCCAACACTTCAAATATGCAAATAAAGGTGGGAATTTTTGGAGAGGCAATTGACCTTAGTAACCATTTACATCTTCAGTGAAACCAGACCTTTTTCTGTGAAACAGCACTTCGATCAAAATCATTTTTGAAGAACACACTAAAAAATGGAACACGATCCATTTGATATCAGACAATAGGCCTAAAGATTCAATTTCAAATGTGGGCATTTGTACCAGACTGGCCATGTTTACTGTCGATGGTGAGAAATTTATAGACAAAGCCTTCAGTTACAAAGCACTGGGGTTAGAAGGCAAGGATGATATCTTTTGAAGTTACTCTCTCCCGAACTTGGAAAAGGCAGCCTGGGCTTATAACTGGTAAAAACAGAAACAAAAAAACAGACACATCACTTCCAAATGACTACCTGCTTACTGATTTTCATGATTCATGGCCGAACATCGTAGTCTAGAAGACGTGAAATGAATCTATCCAGAGACATTCTCTGTACCTCACCACTTGGGAAATTCACAGCAATGGACTGCATATCACAGAGTCATGGATGTGAGGAACAGGAAGTTGGCCTACAGGGAGGTTGCTTGCAAGGACCAGCTCCCTCAAAAGCTTGATTTGTCACACCCAGAAAGGTTTTCTGTTCCACTGAAAGGAATATTAAACTTGCTGAAGGCAAGTACTTTTTTTGTACTTTTCTTTTTAATATGCTCTGTTGGCATTGTTATTTCTTTTGTTTGGTTGTAAAAGCTGAAAATCTCATTCTTTCTCTGCTTACATTTGGAGAGCAGCCACCCTCCCGGTCATTTGCTCAACATTTCTTTTGTTGACTCCTGATCAATAGATCTACCGCCTGCCTTTGTACTTTACAAACGAAACCATTTAGAATTTAGTCATAGAAGTTAAGAAACCTCGCCAGATCCACAGGACTAGCAACTGGGAGAAGATGGAGGAACCCCATTTATTCTTCACATAAAATGCAATTTAGTAGCACACACTTCTCGCGAGACTGCCCAGGCGGAAGAAAAATCCACCATCTTCATCACGTGTGTGATGGTGTTTATTTTGATTTCTATTTTGACTTAGAAGATTGAGCTATTTTGCCAAAGATACTGACAGATCTTCATGTTACTCAGTCTCCTGAGCCAGAAGAAAATTAAATTCATTAAATTTTAAACTCAAGAGTTTCCCGACCATTGCATCAAAGTACGCGGCAAGTGAAATACAAGTGTACTGTGGAGAAATTTATGGTTGCAAATTAAAAAAAGAGAAACACATTTTATTTGGAAGCTATAGAGTAAACTCAATTTTAATACTATCTTTTACATTGTGTAATTGGATTTTCTCATTATAAATTTAGAAAATAAAGCAATTATATTTTTTATCAAGCTTTAAATCCTTTCCTAGTTCCCTCTGCTATAGAATACTCACACGCACTCACAAATATGATTGTACATCTCTGGTTGCTCTGATATAAAAAAGGCTGGAAATGGCTGGTCCAATTTAGAACAGTCTGGGCAGACAGACACTGGATACAATCTTATAAAAGTTGGGTACCATTAAGGAGCTAAACCCCGGTATAAAAAGTTACCAAGGTATTTTCACAGAGTAAGAATCATGGTGATTTATTCATTTGACAAATATTTATTGTGTGTCCTGTTTCAGGGATGCAGTCAATAAAGGGCTAAACAACTTCTCTCCTGTTATGGAGACCTCCTTCCTTTGGCAGATACAGGAATGGCAAAATAAAAATCAATAAATAAAAAGAAAGAAAAGTCGTGTAATTTCCAGTGATGTGAAGAAAAACAATGCAGAGAGTAGAGGACAGAGTGCTTTATACACAGATAATCTAGGAATACCTCCCAGAGGGGTAAAATTTGAACAGACTGATGAAATGAAAGCCTTTCAGACTGGGGAAAGCATGTTCTAGAAAGAATTCTTCCACGGATGGTCACAGGATCCGTGGCTGCAGCTCACCACACAGGAAGGGGAAGGCAAGGCTAGATGGAGTTTTCAAGGCAAGTTTTAATTGCTCTGTCTAAAAAATTAAGCTCCTGGTGGGTACTGCTTTAGGCAACTGCTTAATTATTCCAATGGCAAAATTATGAGTTTGGGGACAGTTTTAAACTATTTTTTTAAAATAGAACTGCAATATATTTCAAAGCTCACAGAAACACTTCTCCATTTCTCTCTCGCTACATTTTTCTCTGAAGGTAATTTATGAGAACAGTGATTGTTTTCATTGCTAATGTTTAGTAGCTGCCAGCTGATAGCCTCAGAGACATGCAGTTCACTCTTAAATACACACTTTAAAATCCACACAACCCTCAGGGTTCTTGGAACTTGGGGATTAACTAAATTTAAACCAATAAGCAGACTTGAAGACTCCTGGGATGAAATCTTAAATAAACCTGTAACAAGGGAAAGCACTTTGCTTTTACAGTATTTTAGTCTACATATTTTGAACTCTTTTAACAAGCATGGGTCTTGGCTACAACCGTGAGAAGTAGCAATTTTTTTTAAAGAAGATAATGGTGTAAAATTTAGTTTAAAAAATACAAAGGATAAAGAGAGCCACTGGAAGGATGTACACATGTGCATATAGTAGTCTTCAGATCAATGGGGACATAAATGCAGATACAGGCTGAGCAACAGTTATCCAAAATGTTTGGGGCCAGAAGTATTTCAGATCTAAGAGGTTTTGGAATTTTGGGATATTTTTATAGACTTCATCAGATGAACACCTCTAATCTAAAAATTTGAAATTAAAAATGCTCAGATTTGAATTTTCAAATTAGAGAAGTGTCAACCTGTAATCACCAAATAGTCCTCCTTTCTAGAAAAGGGTAAATGAGCTTTAATATTACAAGGAGATGCTCCCAGGACAAAAGAACTTCCACAGTGTAAGTCTTTAAAAGCAGATTTTGTAAGATAATGGGAGTGAAATCACTTGTAAAGTTAGAGGGATGACTATTACGACTTGGCAAAGTTTCGTCCAAGTTTATATTGTTCACTCACACATTTACACACAGAGAGAAAGTGAAGGATGAGCTAAACATGCATTCTCTCAAATGTATTTGAGTTCATTTCATATTTGAGCAAATTTTAAGATATTCCAGGAAAAAGACAATGTTCATGAAATGGAAAGCTTCAAATAACTAATACTGTTGTAGTGTGAAATGCTGGAAAAATAAAACAAAACAAAACAAAAAATATGACTGAAAGTCTGAAATACCAAGTCCTTTGATGAACGGGGCCTTTAATTCTCTGGACCTCAGAGCATGAGAAAATGTGTGTCACTATGTGTGATCAGAGGGAGAATATAAACAGTACTGCAGGGGAATTCTTTAAGTGAATCCATCTGTTTTGTTCTATAAAACTAAGTTAATTTTAATTGATCAAGAAAAGAATCAGCTTGTCTGATAAATACACATCCCTTTGCCATGCCCACAAGAAAACAGTAAACTCTAATATTTTTTCACAATCGAAAAGGGGTCTAACCTAAAGCAAATGCCAAAACAAAACAAAACACCCAACCAAACAAAAGCTAAACGAAGCTGTAGTATCGTAATTAGAATTTTCTCTCATTTTAAATCTTCTAGAGGAGGTCCTCAGTCAGCTGAGGTTATAGGGATGTCCACACTGATTGTAGTAGGCAGCTCAAACTTTACAAGAATCCAGGCAAAAAACAACTGCAAACTCACTATGACTTAGAGGAATTCTCAAAGCAGAATAACATAATGGTAGTTCCCCATTGTCACTGACCTAACACTGGAGAAACTAGATTGAAAATGCAAATTATATTTAAATCCCCTGTTTTTGTGCTTTAATCAGAGTACTCCTATGTGATTTTGTCCATTTATTTTATATTAGTAACTTCATAATAATCGCTTGCATTTCAGCTATTTAAAATTAAAGCTGATTGAGCTAGAGGACACACTTTATTTGATCTGTGCAAAGAACAGCTTCATTAGTCCCTTATGAAATGGGTCATTTATCTCTGTTTGCCTGCTTTGTGCTCAGTGCTTACTTTCTCTCCAACTCACTGTCTACAGCTCTTCCTTCCTCCTCGGACTCTTCAACCCCACTGGTCTCCACTGGCTTGTCCTCTGCCACATTAGGGGCTTTCCCACCTCATTCCACATAGTTTATTGAAAAGCAGGTGGTGTCACAGCTGCATCAAACATGGTGCAACAGCCTACTTCCCTTGACTCAAACATACCATCAATGCAGGGAAGCAGGAGCTTCTAAAAGATGGACACATCCAGCCAGAGAGAACTGAAATTTCATTTCAGCTCGGTGACTCTGGATGGGTATTTTTCTACCTTTTGGCAGACTTTCAGAGATTTGTTTAATTGAATTCAGCATGCTTGGGATACAGGTTATTTTATAAACATTTATCTCTTCAGTGACAGCAGTCTGAAGATACCACAATACAAAATCTCCTTTAAGGTAATCATGATGGACGTACTGGTGCACTTGATGGCAATATGAGGAGAGCTCTTGCTGTACCTGTGGTTTAATTCCCAGGAACAGCCTTGGGACATCTTCTGTGGATATTCTTTCTCTTATGTGCTTTACCTTTTATTCTGAATGTAGCCATATCTCTCAGGGAGTACGAAAACAGGAATACAAGGCTATTTCGTCATTTGCTCAGTTATTTTCAGAGTCTGCCCTAACAGTGATGACCAGTTTCTTGACTTTACTATATTTGGTTATTTAATAGTTTTCATTTTATTATCTCATAGTTTTTATTTTAGTATCTAATTGATTAAACTGAGACAGAGAAAAAAAAAACACTAAGTCCTTCTAAATCCTTCTATTATCTGATATTGAGCCAAGGACCGAACCACAAAATTCGAATTGTAAATTATGTCAGTTGCTGTCCTTAATTGTTTTCTACTATAGTCATGAGGATAAAAGAAAAAAATTGATAATTATGGGGCCTTGGGCAAGTTACATAAGCTTTCTGTGCCTCAGTTTCCTCATCCGATTCCCCTTCCTGTTCTGCACCAGAACAGAACAATACTGAAATTCATACTTCATCCATTAAGTTACACATCATGGTCCTATATTTTGATTCTGTCCTTAAAAAAAAGGAAAGAAAGCAAAACCTTCAAAAACTACCCACAAAACCAGGCATGACAGAGTATACTCTGTAATCCCAGATATTCAGGAATCTGAGGCAGAAAGATTTCAGCCTGGGAAACTGAGATCTTATCTCAAGATTAAAAAATAAAAGGGCCGGGGATGTAACTCAGTGGTAGAGTACCCCTGGGCTTAATCCACAGTACCAGGAAGAAAAACAAAAAGAACCCGAAACATCATAACAGCAACAACAATAACAAAACTACCCACAAGTCTATTTATGCATAGAATGTTTGCTTGGATTGATCCTAGTTTTTCAAATTTACTTTCAATTTTTATTAGATCTCAGACTTCTTGATATCATTTTTCATTATAGAATATATTCATCATAAATACCTTTTGTGAAAAAAATATTTATTGGTATATGTTTGTGCTACATATTAATTACATTCATCTTGAAGAATTGGTACATATTAGATCATTTTTTGTTGTTATGTTTGTTAACTCCAACTCATGATGTTTCCTTGTGCATGCAGGGAAGGTGGTTGTACATTCCGTGTTTGAACCAGAACTCTTAAAATTTCATGGTTCTGAACTGGTAATGCTACCCCTTCAAAAATTATACAGATTTTTACAGGGGAAAACGGGGTTCTATAGAACTAGGGCCACTTTAATGTCCCTGTTAGAGTATCTTGTTAATGTGGAATTCTCAAATTCAGTTCTTCCACTTCCCTGGAATCCCGAAAGACTCTTCTCATTACCAAGCTAATCTGTGTTTGCCTTCTGGGCAATCTCAGTAAAGTATTTGCCTCCATTACCCTACATTGCCTGGTCCTAGTAAAAGCTCAATTCTATTTCTCAGGTCATTAATGACTTCTAAGTTATAAAGTTTAATGAACATTTCCAGAGCAGAGGGGACCAGATTATTGTTGCAAAACCAGATTACCTTTAATGGTTTCTTTCTGTAATGCAATTCCAATAAAATTGTACCTTTTGGAGGAAGCGCCTTCCTACACTAAACAATGGAAACTTAAATATATCAGGCAATGACATCAAGGAACAGTTACCTAGTATAAAGGGGTAATCAAAGGAAAAAGTACTATATGTTTTTATCTAGATGTAACAACAGTAATGCTGCCTTAGAGTGTGCCTTTTGAAATCAGAAGTTTATATTTCAAGGTGGTCTCTAGAATACTAGTGAAAGGTAAACAACCCATACAAGTTTCTCATGCAACCACTGCCATTTGAGGGACTTCTGCTTTTGGTGAAAAGGTAGTCATTTGTAGTAAACATATGCTTTGTCGAGAATAGAAAGTTAAAAAAGGTTAAGAAAAAGAAAAACAAAAGCTCTCGAGGCAGAGTTCTGAGGAACTAGGTTCCCAGAGAGGAGAGCACCACTAAGAGTGGGCCAGCACATTGTAACCCGTCCTCCCCCAGGAGCATTGTTTACTGACTGTTGGCAGGGAGCAGGAGGCTGAGAATCCACGCAGAGCGGGGAGCTATTAGAGAGGCAAGCCAGAGGGGCTTTTAGCAATGTCATGAGGCTGATGACAGAAACTGGAGTTTGGGGCTGCCACTGCAGCCAGAACTAGCACGTCCAACGTCCCGGCAAGAAGGGGCACTTTCTCCTTGAGCCACTGGATGAATTTTTATGCTGCTCAAGAAAGTAACTGAAAACCTCACGAAAGTTTTCTACAGAGTGAGAAGTGAAAACTTGGGAACTAGTACTGTTCTTCTAATAAGGACGAGGTCAGAGTGAACACCTTGGTTGGGCTCTCCGCTGAGACTGCAGGAGCAGAGCAATTCAGAGACAGAATCTGACAAAAACCGTATCCCAGCTTTAGTCCACACAAATTCTGATTGCATAAGGTAATCTTTTTGCAGAACTTTTACTTTCCTAACTAAATTTTACCATTCTTCTTCTTCCTTTTTTTGTACCAGGGATTGAACTCAGGACCTTGCACTTGTGAAGCAGGCAGTGGAACCACTGAGCTAAATAAATCCTCAGCCCTGAACTTTACCATTCTTAAAAACTCAGGACTGCACTTGTGAAGCAGGCAGTGGAACCACTGAGCTAAATAAATCCTCAGCCCTGAACTTTACCATTCTTAATTTTGACATTCCTTATCACAGCTCATATATAGTAAATGAAGCATTCCCTCAAACTCATAGAAACGTAATCCTGAAAACTAATTTTTATTTAATAAAGTCCCAAACTACAACTGAAATTTATAAGATGATCCTCTGAGAGATCATGAGGAGTGGTGACACGTACTTCTCATCCGTCCAGTAATTTCAAAATAGAAAATTTGGTACAACAGCTTTAAGAGCACTGTATCATCACATAAAGTGGAAATTTGAACAACTAGTTATTAGTTATTGAAGCTTTTTTCTTGCTGCTTCATTGCTTTTGTGTGTGCGGGAGGGGGAAGCGCTGGCAATGGAATGGCATCCAATGTCTTACGCATGCTAGGTACGTGCTCTACCACTCAGCTACATCCCCAGTCCCCAGGCTTTTCCATTTAAACAGTCAAATCAAAGACATCTGAGGGTAGGGCACGCTCAGAATATTTCCACATTTAGCGCTGGTTACTCCCTGACTGCACTTTTTGGAGTAGGAGCTTTTTTTCCCAGTAGGTTACTTGCCTGGCCGACTTTGCTTCTTAGCCTTTACATGGTTAGCTGCAGAAACAGCGTAGGATGAAGTGAAGGATCTGCTTTTGGTGAGGGTCATCATCACAGGGCTATTCCAAGAATCAGGATTAACAGTACTGTAACGATAAAAGAAAAAAATGAATACATCTTTCATTAATTAATGGGCAAATCTTGCCAGAACCCAAATATCATTTTCATAATAAACTCGCCAATCTGAGCATTGGTCTAGGTTCACAGATAGACTGCTTTCCTCCCAAATTACCAGATATGATATCTAAGCTCAGTCAGTCCCTGGGGCAGGGGTGTATGAGTCACTCATCAAAAGCAGTAGTTAAATAATAAAAGAAAACTTGTGCATATATCCAATTCCTATGAATCAAGCCCCTTCTACTACCTGTCTAATAATATTGCTCCCAGAATTTTCTAAAAGAATCTTGCAGATCAATTGGCTAAAAAATGGGTGAAGTCAATGTTATCATGTTTAGGTCAGTGCTCTTTATTATGTATCATTCTTGGTGAATCTACACTCAAAAATTAAATCCTTATGAAACCCTTCAGAAACAGTGTTTTCTTGCAGTGCTTTCATATGAAAGAAAACGTGAGCAGTAGATCTTTTGCCTATAATGTTTCTTTACTGAAAATGCCACACTCTCTTTTAAATACACCAGTTGCAGACATGATGTTCATCACACTAATATTTACTATGAGAAAGGTTAAGGGGCAATCTCCTAGGATATGCATTCACAAAGAGATACCTGGTCTGTCTAGGCTGCTTACTGAAAATAAATCTGGAATTAACAGATCTATGGAGGAATATATGCTATATATGCTGTGGGATTAATGGGATCTGAATCGTGGAAGTATTCCAAGTGAAAATGTTGCTTCATGTATTGCACAAAAATGCATGCAGATTCCATCCTAATTTGAGAGAGAAACGAGTTCTGGAAGCTGTGTTGACACTCTTGGACTGCTCTGACGGAAAGGGGCTTAGTCTTTGTTTTGCTAACACCTGTGTCCTCTCAAGCACTAGTGAACTTGGTCCCGGGTAAAAGATGTAATTTGCATGAATATAATCTGACAATTTGATTTTCTGCCAATCTCAGATTGGCCCCGTAGGCAGGATGTGTCTGGTCTGCCTGGGAGACTTACTGAAAAGAAACCTGAAACTGATGGAAATACGGGGTCATGGATATATGGAGATTGACATATAGCTGTGTAATGAGTGGAGTATAATTTGGAGAGGTTCTACAGCCAAAATGGCTCTCTCTGTGCTAGCAATATTATGCATGCTTTGTTTAGAACACTGAATATTAAATCCAAACCAGAACATGTGATAAATGTAGAATAAAAGGTCATTTAGGGAGCTACACTAATATCACTTCTCGCAAAAGGACGAATACATATGTGATTTGCTATCACCATATCTATTGACTAACAGTAAATCAGGCAATAATATCCATAGCTGTGTTAAAGCTGATTCTATGGCCTGGTACTTGTACTGTGTTTCATTTCTTCTCTCTTTCTTTTCTAGCTTTGAAGAGATTTTTCTTGAACCATGGACCTAGGTATTTAAAAGCTTCATTGGTTTCTTCTTACTTCTAGTAGTAGTTAATTATATCTATCATAAAGAGGACATCTGAAAAGTAGAATGAACTTCCGCAGTTATCAAAAACATACAAAGTATTGTTTCATGTCCTTCTTAGAAATCTCATTCCAGGCAATTCACAAATGCTTGGAATTTTGTGCATAATAAGATCAAAGAAATATTTGGGTCTGAAACGGGTAACTAACTAACCAGCTTATGGTGCTAGTTTCTCAACTCATTTTGCTGGACTGATGAACTGATAATAAGATTTACTGTGAAGAAATTTTATGTCATGGGCCTGGGGATTTAGTTTAGTGGCTCCACTGCCCGCCTTGCAAGCACAAGGTCCAGAGTTCAATCCCCATTACCAAAAAAAAAAAAAAAAAAAAAAAAAAAAAATTTT